TCTGTTCAAAATATAAGCGCTTTGTCAGCTCTGAACTACATCAAATCGATGCCACATCTAAACCTAATGCCTAGTTAGTTGCGTGCTCTGAAAGGTTATCTACATTTTTCTGTTTTTAGCCTGGATTTGCAAGCCAATTTAGTTTATATATAAAGGAATACTTTAAAGGAAAGAGTGATTAAATTCGTGAATATTAACTTCTAAATTTCAGTTTGACGCACAGTATCAGTCATCAGCAACAGTCGGAATCACGCAAGGATGAAATTCAAACTTATTCCACACAACCAGAAGTTAACCGAAGCGAAAGCAGCATTGACAAGATGATACACATCAAAAGTGGTGAGAAACATTCAGTTGGGCGTGAAAACCTGGTAAGCGTAATTTTGTGAGAGTTTTTGTTTTGTTTACAGTAGGTCAATTAACTTTCTTTTAGCCGTTGTTCCTATCTGAAAGTATTTTTAGACAGTGATGAAAGTCCATAGGGGTTCTGAGGCTTGGAAGGAAGAAATATGGCCAGTATATGAAGAGAGCATCTGGAAGTTTCGCTTTCTTTCTGCCACGGCCTTTCATTTATGATTCACCACCACTGGTTAAAATTCCAAGGTCTCGGTGCACGAAAGTTGTGGTTTGAACAGCAGCCTGCAGTCCCATCACCTCTTTGATAAGCATTGATCCTTTCATTTTTAGAAAAAGTTGGATATCTGGAAGCACCAACACCGGTGCAGGCGCAAGCTGCACTTTTCATATTCGCATAGTTCCCGGCCTGCCCATTTTGAGCAGTAAAAGGATCATTTCCAGCACTGTTGGTCCAGCAGGCACCGCATCCACAGCCCCATCTAGGGAAGCCCGGTCCGACGTCAGGCCTGGTCGGGGGGACATTTGAGAAACCAGCAAAAGCGGATGATGTGTTAGGTACTGGGGGAACAGTGCCTATTGGGGGTGAAAAATGTGAGACAGGAGTGAACCTACATCCGTGGTAGTAATTACCCCCTGGCGGTATCCAAAAGTCTGGTGATTGGTGTGTTGAAGCTAAATATGGCTTCCATTCAGGTCCGTACTGTCCGTACGGAGGGGGTTGAGGGCACCAATAGCGGTCATAATCATAAGGCTCGTAGTAAGGGCTGCTGTATTAAGACAATTTGGAGAAAATCAAATTTATATGTAACTAAAATAAATAATTTTGCTTAATTTGACCTGTTGAGATAGTTGTTTGAGGTCTAATTTGTTTAATTTCGCAAGTGGGTAATATTTTTCAACTTCATAATTAGGTTCTATTTTATAATATTTTCTTCATTTGTATTCTCTGTAGACTGCACGAAACCCTCTATTAGTTTCACTGGTTTAAAAGTTACTATCCACTTCTTTGCTTCTTCGAGCAAGATCATATTGTTTGACTTCTATGCTTAAATCTGCTACTATTTAAATAAACAAATCGCGTTTAAGTAAAATATTTTGAAAAAATTTAATGGGAACTTCGATTTTAGGCCTTTTTATTCTATTAATGTGCCCCAAAGTTATAATTATTTGAGTTTCCTCTAAGTTTAACTAGTTCATCCTATTCTATAACTGATAAGTGTTTTAGCTGATAGGCTGTTGTATCTAAATTGAATAATCGTAAATGGAATCTTCGGTAAGCAAGCCACTGAGATAAAATACCAAAATTAAATCGCTTTTCTTCTTATTTATTATTGGATTAATCCAATGTTTTGGTTTTCAATTTAATTTGTTACTTTCAATCAGGGCGACAAATATACCTAACGATTCAGGAGAGTTCAATATTTAACGTCAAAACTAGTGATACTTTTTAATGTAAATGAGCTAAGATTTGAAATTGTGAATGAACTTTCATAGGCTTGTTGGCATACAAAATCCTACAAAGTTATGAACAAAATAAAATTGCTGATAAAATTTATCAGCCTATTTGGGCTAGTATTTTAGATCAACTACCATTGCGCTTTTATTCCTAGACTAAAGCAGACATCCTAAATTATCATATTATACATGTACTATAGGATAATTTTAACGACCACTTCACCCAATAATTTAATGAATTCACGTGAAAACGTGCTAAGTTTCGTCCGTCGTATCCGAGTTCAAGACTACAGTCCACCATGGATGAGAACCCTTTTTGGGGAAGCAATGATATGTAGAAACGTCAGCCCTATTCATATAATTGTGGAGATATTCAACTACCAGTACTTCATCACCTTAAACGAAATAGGTTGAATACATCTTATGCTGTCGTAATGTTTACAACAGTTTACAAAGGCCAGGTGGCATGAATGCCTGCTTTGTCCGATTGTATTCATTGCATTTTTTGGCAATCTTACTAGGGTAGTTTAATCTTAGCTATGAAAACTAAGATGTTGGCGTCTCTGTTTTGGTCTTAGTCTCGCATCACTCTAAGGTGTGTCAAAAACAAATTCTAACCACTAACTAATTTATTTATTAAACTTTGGTCAAACAGATTAAGAAGAAAATTTGTATTGTTCAGACTTTAAAAAATTTCATTTTTGCTTCGTATTTTATTTACATTTATTTGTTTTGCATTATATTTATATTCTATGGATTAACTGGTTGATATGGCTTTAGAAACGCCATTCGTAGCATATTTTCAAAGAGAATTTCGTCTCTTTGGAAGCTAATTTCTCTTTTAGAAAAAATCTAATTCATTGAGTCATTAAATTCGGGGTCCAATTTATTTGTTCACTATTTCTTATCAGTGATGTTATTAAGGATAAGCAAATCTTAGCTTTAATACTTAACGCGATGTACTCATAAGTCATAGATATGCAGAAAAAGTAGTTTTCAAAGAATCCTTAATAAATTCATGCTAGATTACCTTCCATTTCGTTTGAAGAGGCGAGTGGAAGGGATTCGTAAGTTGGTTTTCTCGAAAGCTGTAGAGGGATTACCTTGGAGCTGTGATCGTAGATTTGTGCGAATATGTACTCGGCGCACTGCCCCGCGACCTTGATGAATCCTTGCGGAGCTTTCGTCCATCATCTGACGGTCATCGTCAGAGCAGGACACCTTGTTTTATAGTTCACCAAACACAAAGACAAGAAAGTTGGCTGGCTACAATCTTGCCTACTTTTTATAGTCTGGTTAGGTTTACTTAGTAAAACATCCCATAATTTTGTTGGAGATCTTATGCTTCTATTAAATGTTGTTGAAAAATCAAGTGGCTGCGAATGGCATGTAAAGTGGCTGCAATTGAATAGTGAAATGGATGCAATTGTAACCGAACTGCTGCATCCTCTACTACAATACTTATCCTTTTTTTTTATTAGGCTATGGGGCCGCATGTGATTGTACTCCAGTGCACTTGTGTTTGTGTGCATGCAATGCTTGTGAGACGCATAGGGCTTGAGAGGGAAAACCAGATTTGAGGCTGATTAAGTCTCCTCCTCTTGCTCGGTGGTACTTCTTGTTCTCTCTTTCTAATCCTATCAAACGGTCACAGGTAGGTTCCACTTCATTTTCTACACTCGTTTCTTCTATTATTTGTGCTGGCTGTTTTGTTGATTTCTATGGATTCCCTAATTTTCCTCTTACTGATATAGTCTCCATAGTTCATTAAGCTTTTGGCATAAGACCTGTTTATTTGGTGTCTTTTGTGGGCTGTGTTCGCTAGCTCTGACTTTTGGACCCACAAACCTTTGCAGGCTGTTTTATCTTCAGATAACCTCTTATGTATGAGTCGACAGGTCTCTCCTACATAGGAGCTATCGCATGATCACAAAACCTTATAGCAGTCCGTTTTGGAAAGTGGGTCAGATGTTTCCCGAAAAGCTGGCATTACCGAGGAAAGGGTTACTTTCTCTTAACCTATCATATTAGAAAACTGGCATGAAGGTAACATCAAGACCATAGTTGAGTGATCCAGCTGCATATCTTTCCCCAAATTGATGTTTGCCTCAATCCTATTCGCTACCATTTTCAGCAATTCTCAATTAATCCTAATGGTTAATCATTCTCAACTAAAATTTTTCTTGATATCCTTAATTCCTGCTCCCGATGGTTAGCATCATCAAGACGCAGGCTCCTCGTTATCATGGATTTCATAACTACTACTTAAACCCCATAAGTATCGTTTGAAAATAAATTAAAAAAGAACCCAGCATTTGTGGGTTTCCTATACACATTTCTGGCCAGTTTATTTCCCCCTTTTCTAACCAGAACATCTATAAATAGTAAACTACCATCCTACTACCATTCATTGTGAATTGGATATTTTAATCTATTCCATTCATCAACATTATGAATCCTCCTAGTCTTTTTTTTCCATGCTGCTAAGCAGTCATCTGTGTACCTAACCCATAATTTAAGAATTAAAAGTGCCTATTGTATTGGGCAAATTTCTAACTGAGCCATGTAGTCATTTGCTAAAATTGAGGACAAAAGTGATCCTAGGGCTAAGCTTCGTGTTTGTTGGTATAGTTTAATTTTGAAATTAAAATATTTACAGCTCACCATTAAATTCGTCAACCTCATTATTAACTACTTACATAAAGTTATA